CACTTAGATGATGCTTGAAGATTCGAAGATCTAACAACAAATATGACGATATTTGTGTAAGGAACTCACGATTTGAGTGAAGAAGTGTAAGGAAATCAAGTGTGGGGAGAGATTTACTTACCAAGGTAGATGAAGAACTTCAAAATCAGCCTTGAATCTCGAAATCTAGAGAGAGAAGTGAGAGAGAATGAGTTTTTGCTTCTTGGTGAAGTGTGAGTGAATGGGAGGAGAGATAAGGGTTTTCTTACCCTTGAGTCAAAGTACTTGGCTGGAAAGAGGGGGAAAAAGGACAATGAAATGACCAGGTATGGTGGAAGGACAAGGGCTGGTCATTGAGTGGGCATGGGTGGTTGCTTGTGTCATACATTAAAGCAAAGTCAACACTCCACCCAAAATATCCTACCCACTAATCTTGGATAAGATTTACACTAAAAAACGTGATTAATTATGAATTTAGGGGTCTTATATGTTAAAATATAATTTTGGGTGAAAATCCTGCGTTAAAATTATGTAAAACGGGCCTAAAATGAAGTCGTAGTCGAAAATCGGGAAGGAAAGGGCTATCTGCGAGACCTCTCGGTACTGGGCCGAGGTTCGGTCCTTGTTGCTGCTGGGCCCGAAGGCGAGGTGGAGCGAAATAGCCCGAAGGCGAAGGTCAGGAGCGAAAGCGAACTTCGGGTTCGGATCATCAGACTTCGGTTCGGTCCTAATGGTTTCGGTTCGGAAGGTTCGGTCCGAAGGGACCTTCGGGTTCGGTTCGCAGGGAGCTTCGGGTTCGGTCCAACTCAGTTCGGTTCTAAGCACTTTCGGTCCGAGAGGCTTCGGTCCTTAAAGGAGGGTTTCGATTTGTTCAGGCTATTTTTCAAGAATTCTTCCCATTTTGCGCCGTTTTTCACCAAGTTAAGTGTCGGGATGCCCGAAATGATTATAAAAAGTTAAAGGAACTTTTTGAGAGAGATTTGGGAGAGATCACACATACTTGGAGAGATTTGAGAGAGATTTCACATTCTTGGAGAGATTTCTCATATAGAGAGAGATTTGGGAGAGATTTCACATTCTTGGAGAGATTTCTCATACAGAGAGAGATTTGGGAGAGATTTCACATACTTGGAGAGATTTCTCATTCAGAGAGAGATTTGGGAGAGATTTCTTTTGTGACCTTTTTGAGCGTTTGGCTCTGTAACGCAAGGTTTGTAAACCTCGTTAAGTCTTGTTATGATTGTTATATGCCCCCGCAGGTTAAGGAATAATGTTTTATCGAGTATAGTCGTCACTTACCCTGATTAGGGTTTAGAATTTCCGAACACGTGAAAACTCTAAGTGATAATTTGTATAAGGATTGCGAGTTGTACAATAAGAAACATAATGGAAACCCTAATGTACAAGGGTTAGATGAGTTGACCGGTTTGACTTGTTGACTTTAGTTGACTTTGACTTGGCCAAAAATTGACGGTTGTCACATGTGAAGACTCTGTCAATCACCATCCAGCCTCATCTAGCCTCACAGATTAAAGAAGCCCAGTTGGACGCATTGAAGCCGGAGAATGTCGCTAGTGAATCACTATGTGGAATGGAGAAGGAGCTCGAAGTCAAGGATAACAGAAACTACTACTTCATGAATATAATATGGGTCCCCAAAATTGGGAGATTTAGAGAGGTAGTCATGCATGAAGCCCACAGGACGCGATATTCTATTCATCCGGGGTCAGATAAAATGTATTTGGATATCAAGCAGCAATATTGGTGGCCTAATATGAAGGTAGAGATAGCCACTTTCGTGGGCAAGTGCCTTACTTGTGCCAAGGTGAAAATAGAATATCAAAAGCCCTCGGGACTACTACAACAACCAGTGATACCCGAGTAGAAATGGGAAAGGATTACTATGGACTTCGTGACTAAATTGCCAAAGACAGCAGACGGATTGGATGCTATCTGGGTAATTGTCGACAGACTAACAAAATCCGCTCATTTCCTGCCAATAAAAGAATCCTACAAGATGGAAAAGATGACCCGAATCTATCTCAAGGAGGTTGTAAGACTTCATGGAGTTCCAGTATCTATTATCTCGGATCGAGATAGCAGGTTTACTGCAAGATTCTGGCAATCTCTTCAGAGAGCAATGGGAACACAGCTAGATATGAGCACTGCCTATCACCCGCAGACGGATGGTCAGAGTGAGCGTACCATCCAGACACTCGAGGATATGCTCCGAGCTTGCGCGATTGACTTCGGCAAATCATGGGATGCCCACTTGCCTCTGATCGAATAACAACAGTTACCATATGAGCATCAAGGTTGCTCCCTTCGAGGCTCTCTATGGTCGTAAATGTATATCACCCCTATGCTGGGCCGAGGTGGGTGACACTCAACTAGCAAAAGGAGAATCGCCAGCCAGTGCTCTTACAGGGCCCGAAATCATTCGTGAGACAACCGAGAAGATAGTCCAGATCAAAGCTCGACTTCAGGCATCGCGAGACCGACAAAAGAGCTATACCGACAAGCGACGAAAGCCACTAGAATTTCAAGTCGGGGATCGCATGCTATTAAAGGTCTCTCCATGGAAGGGAATGATTCGATTTGGGAAAAGAGTAAAATTGAACCCGCGGTACATTGGACCGTTCGAGATTCTTGCCCGGATTGGTCCAGTGGCTTACAAGCTGCAACTACCCGTCGAGCTCAGCAACGTACACCCAATGTTCCACGTCTCAAATCTGAAAAAGTGTCTATCAGATGAAACCCTTGTCGTTCCTTTGGAAGAGTTTGAGCTAAACGAGAACCTCCTGTTCGTCGAAGAACCAGTCGAGATTATGGATAGGGAGGTGAAGCGTACAAAGCAAAGTCGCATCCCGATCGTGAAGGTTCGTTGGAGCGCAAAACACGGACCGGAATTCACGTGGGAACGTGAAGACCAGATGAAGCAAAAGTACCCTCACCTATTCATTCCTTCACAATCCTAGTTTTTAAAAGAATTTCGGGACGAAATTCCCTCTAGCGGGGGGATGATGTCACAACTAGCATTTTAGCTAGGAAATTATATTCATGTGTAACCATTCAACTATTGTAAAACTTATATTCTAAGTAAATCTCACTCAATGCACATTTAGATTCACCATTCATGTCCATCAAAGAGTCTGAAGCATTAAGATCCATGGTTTAAGTCCATGGTGGACTAGGAGTTCCTTATTGGGCCTAATGGACCAATAAGCACCCAATTCAATTTTATTGGACTTAGAAGCCCTAATTGGATCCTAATTGGACCCAATTAATAAAATCTAAAACATTTTGGACCACTTGGGTCTAGAATGATTCATTTTAACCCTAATGGGCCTTATTGGGCCATAACTAATTCCATTTAACCTTAGTGAACCATAAGCCCATTCTTTTATTCTAATTGGTATGGAAACATACTTTTATAAAAAGGTATTTTTATGCTAAACATACTTTTAAAAGGACCAAAAATGCAAATTTAGCTTAATGGGCCAAAACCTTTGGGCCTCACGGCCTTTGGGCCCAATTTGCGAAAAATGAAGTTTTGGGGTTTAAAAATGTCATTTTGCCAAAGTTTGAGTCATAAATGTAAATAAACCAAATTTAGAGGTGAAAATATCATTTATTTTCAAATTGGACCAAAAATGTAAAGTTTTCCAAAAATGGGGCCGAAAGTGTAAACTTTTACAAATAAGGGGCTGAAAATGTATTTTTCTGCAAAACAGGGTTCTAAATGTGAAAATATAACATTTTGGGTTAAAACAGTAAATTTATAGACCTTTGGGACAAAAGTGCCAACTTTTATAAATTATGGACTAAAGTGTCATTTTTACAAAACTTTGGGCCTAAATTGAAAATTGAGAATTTGTTGGCCAAAAACGTCGTTTTTACAAAAGAGGATTTTTATCACCCAATCTATTGAACTTCAAGTCAAAACAAACAACGGAATAAAACAAAACGAACGAAATACAACAATCACTATTTATTTGGGCCTAATATATACATTACTTGGCCATTGGACCCTAAGGGCCCAATTAAGTGTATATTGAGCCCAATGCTTTCCGTGATGTGTTTATTGGGTCTTACGACCCATTTACATGTTAATTTGGGTCTAAGTATTGGATTACATGTTATTGGGCTTTTGTGGCCCATTTACATGCCTATTGGGCCTAAATTACCCTCTTACATGTTATTGGGCCTTTGTGGTCTAACTACATGCTAATAGGGCTTGGAATGGAAAGTACTGTTTATGCTTTTTGGTCTGTATCGGAACATGACATCCCGAGGTTTTTTTATTTAATGAAAAGTACATTCTATTTGAGAAATGTTTTGATAAAGTTTTATCATATTTTGTTTGGAACAAATTCCGCAACTGTTTTCTTTAAAAGAATACTCTGATTTTAAAACAAAGCATAATCAAATCGGTCTTTTCTGGCTGTGAAATTGGGGATGTCACATATTTTATCAGTATTCAATCCTCATGCTGGTCCACAAATGTACACTCCTCCCAAAACTCAATCACTTTTAATCCGGATATGGATCCCATGTGATGTTCCCTTTTATATGTGTGGTCCTCATTTGAATACAATACCTAATGCCTTTTACCCGTTGGTCCACAAATGTACACTCCACCCAAAACTCAATCACTTTCACTTGTCTGTTGTACCCATGTGATATGCATTATATTCAATTGTTTTTGTCCATAATAACCAATGCCTTTTATCAGTATTCAGTTGCACTTAACAAGACTATTCATTGGAACAAAAGTATAGTACCATAAAGATGCTTTTTTCCATTAGATACAAAAGTACATGGGGAATACAAAAGTAGCTTAAATTACAGGGGCATTTACCAGACAAGGGCATTTACATCCATACAAATACTAACCTATATCCAACCCACCAAAAACCACAGAAGATGTTCATATCCCCAACCCCAAGTTTACAAAAAGGGAGAGCATCTATACCACTAAAAACCATAAACTACCCCCAATCCCTTAGCCTCACGCATCTCTATCCCACCACCTTTGTTTTCTGCATCATCAACACAGCAGAAAGAAGCACAAGAAACATCATAGCAATCCTGAACTTCATCCTCACGAACTTCAACTCACCCCTCAATTGTTTGTTTTCTTGAACAGCCATGGCTAACTCACCATCAACAATTTCTTTAGCAGCAGTGGCTTCACCATTCAGGTTCTCCAACAAAGCTACCCTTCTCTCTAGTCTTGCAGCGTAACTAGTGTCTTTCATTAGTTTCAACTCATACTTGAGATTGTTAAAGGCATTCTTGTAGTGTGGTGTCAGCTCATCATCGATCCACTTGAAGTATTTAAACTTCTTAACTGCCATCTCCACCTACAAACAAACATACCAATGAAATATTCAGTCACACACACACACACCACAAGCTCGTTCCACTATCGACTTAATCGAGAACAGTAAACCCTAAACTCAACATTATCTCCATTGTTTGATAAACCCTAATTCCACAATCTCGACAACAGATTTAAAGAAGATGATGCTTACCAAAGAGTCAACGCAGTTGCGAAATCTACGAGTTGGATTCTTATCTGACATCGACATCCTTTCTACGCTTAACTTTGGATGACGACAAGCGAACAGGTCGTTGTCACGATTCCTAGTAGTGAGAACAACGTGGTTCTCAGATGATGATCCAGATGAGTATGCCATCGAAGGAGAAGCTAATCGATTCTTAAGGGTTCGTGACCTGAAAACTAAATGTTATAAAGTGGAAATGATCTTGAATATCTTGTCTTCATTTAGGGAACTCTAAATAGCTTATTAATGAAGCTGATGCATCACCTGCCAACTGTGTATCTACGTGGACAGCATTGTCTACCTATGCAGTAAATTAATGGAAAACCGGCAATTGTGTGTAAATTTTAGGATATCAGATATAAAAGACAGATAATTTTCGAGTTTGGGGGTTCATAAAAACCAAAAGAAAAAACTTCAAAAATGGTCCCTGTGGTTTCCGAAAATATCAAGTTTAGTCCCTAAGTTCAAAAAACCTCACAGATGTCCCTGTGGTTTCAAAACTTTTAACAAATGATCCTTTTCGCTAACTCCGTTAACATTTAGCCGTTAAGTGAAGGGCATTTCTGTCATTTCACAACCACAGGGACCATTTATGAAGTTTTGCCTTAAACTTTTTTAAAAAGAAAAATAAATATAATTATTTAATATTAAAGGGCCCCACCCCTCTCTCTCTCTTTCTCTCTCTCTCCAACAACCCCACCCTTATTCCCTTCATGATTTCCGATTGAGAGGTTTGATTCGTGGTTTCTAATTGAGGGATCAAGTTTCAGCTACTAATAATCTCCAACATGTATAATATAGTGGGGATAGTGTTCATATGTTTTTGGTTCTTGGGCACAACTTGTTGAAATTGTCTTGTCGTTTGGTTCCTGAATTGTACATCTTGATCTCTCAACCTACTTGTTTCTTAGATCTGGAAGATAAGAACCCAACAATGAAGATCGATGAAGAATTTACACATACAAACGCGATTTGAATCTTACCTTTGATTCTTGTGAAGAAATAACGTTTCAAGAAGGTTGGTAGAAGATGCTTGCGTCATTGAAGAAGATGAACAATTTCGCTGTGTGTTCCAGCGTTTGTCACCACTAGTGAACATGAAACCACCATGGAGATTACTTTTCCCATCGATTTTTGGATCTGGGTCTTAAGCCACCACCACCTGAGTTTGTTAAGGTGGGTGGTGATGAAAAAGCAGGGGCAGTAGGAGGTGGGATTTTGTGTATGGTTTTTGTTCTAAATCTACCTTTCTCCATCTCCGTTTCAGGTCTGGAATTAAGAACTTAATTCGTTCCTAAAATACTTCTAATCGAGGTTCTGTGACACCTAACATCGACCCCAAGACACACACAATGAAGCTTTTTAATGTGTAATTAGATATCAACAATAGTAGCAAATCGTTTTCTAGAAGTGTGTGTGGAGCTTGAGTTGTAGGTGAAGAACGGGGAAGAAGATGATGGAGTGGTGGTGTTGTTTCGTCTTTATAACTAAAAATCTCCTATTCTCAATCGTTTTCTGGTTATGTATCATTCAAACCTTCAAATCAATGATAAATAAAAGGAAGAAGGGGGTTTTAAATTTAGATCTTTCTTGATGTGAATGAATGTTACAGATGTTATAGATGTGTTTTGAAAGAGAAGAATAAATCGATCGAGTTGCACAATCTAGTCTTTCTTACGACAGAGAGAGAGAGAGAGATGGGGGTGGGGCCCTTTAATATTAAATAATTATATTTATTTTTCTTTAAAAAAAATTAAGGCAAAACCTTCATAAATGGTCCCTGTGGTTGTGAAATGACTGAAATGCCCTTCACTTAACGGCTAAAAGCTAACGGAGTTAGCGATAAGGACCATTTATTAAAAGTTTTAAAACCACAGGGAGCATCTGTGAGGTTTTTTGAACTTAGGGACTAAACTTGATATTTTCGGAAACCACAGGGACCATTTTTGAAGTTTTGTCAAACCAAAAAAAATAAAAAAATAATTGGTCTTTTAAAACAAAATGTAGAAGTTAATTGGGTCTGACAAAAACCCAAAATAAAACGGGTACGCACTACAAGTTTGATATCCCTATCGGCTACCGGTAATAACCTTATTACCGGATAAAACTCCACACGCCTAACGCACTGTTCAAAATTGCATATAGACCGCACTACCAAATCCAATCACGAAGAGAAGTCCAAAACGAATCCCGCTTCACCGTTCTTTCGTAGGCTACGATCCTATCCGGATCAGTTACAAAATTACGGTTAAATCATTACGACAAATGTGATGAGAAAGCCATGGTTGCTGCTATAGAATGCCTCTTGAAGCGTTGACTATTTGGTTGGAGGAATCATCTTTGGCCACTGCTAGTAAGAGCTACGACACAATTGTTGAACGTAATCAGCCTACGAGTCGCATACTCCGGAATTTGATTCATTTACTGAAGTTTTGTTCGCGAAATTGGGACTGTAAGTAGTGATTTCGAGTGAATGCATCGTCGCCTTAATGGCTGTTGCTACAGATCGGCTCTTGAAGCGGCTTGAACGGTTACGTACTAAATCAAATCACATGATCAATGATGTTTCTCTAGACAATGAACATACTCCCTTTATTGCATCTCCATCCTTCAAAATTCTCTGCAAGAAAGCAATGTCGGTCTGTATAATTGATCCCCTATGGAGAATTGTGCACCTTTCAGTTCCTGAATTGATCAAATTTCTTCATGAAGAAGAAGGTTATACTTGTTTAAATGTTTATTGGTTGAAGTCTTTACCGAAGATCCTTTACGAGCTTCAAACTGTTTTAGATTGTGTAAGCGACAGCAGAAATTGGGGCATTTTGGATAGGCATGTGTGGGATGAGGTAAATAAAGATGAAGAAGTGTTGGGTATGTTGAAGAAGATTAAAGGTACGTTATCTGATTACTTTCCTGTTCTCATTGATGAAACTCCAAGAGTCAGTTGTGCAATAGAAGAATTGAAAACAGTGATTGATGCAATTCTAATACTTTGCTGTGAGTTTCTAGACTCGGATGTGAAATTTGTTGTGTTTGATGATATATCGAGAAGAAAACTTGAGTCTGGATTTACGCAGAGGCAACTTGAACTACTCCCAGTACCATTAAAACAGAGTGTAGATGAGGAAAAAACCGTGGTAGGGTTTGAAGATGATACAATAAAATTGCTTGATAAGCTTACTGGATTTTCAAAGAAACTGGAGGTCATCCCAATTATAGGAATGGCAGGATTGGGTAAAACTACCTTGGCCAAAACAGTATATGAGCATCCTTTCATTGTATATTTCTTTGATATCCGTGTCTGGTCATGTGTTTCTCAAGAATATGTAAAGAGGGATATTTTACTTTGTATTTTGAGTTGTATTGTTCAGCTTACAACCAGATTTTATAGCATGAGTGATGAGCTGTTAGGAGAACAAATATACAGAGGACTGAAGGGTCAAAATATCTAGTTATCTTTGATGATATTTGGGATGATAGTCATTGGAAGGAGTTAAAACAATATTTTCCAGACGATAGAAATGGAAGTAGGATACTGCTAACCACCCGGAATTCAAATTTAGGGTCAACAACCGCTCATAGTCATAGGTTGAGGCTACGAACAGCTCGTGAAAGCTGGCGAATATTACAAATGATGGTTTTCAAAAATGGAAAATGTCCATGGAGATTATATGATATTGGAAAGCAGATTTCTAGAAAATGTTGTGGGTTGCCTCTTGCAGTTTCTATAACTGCAGGGCTTCTGAGAGGTAAGTGGACAAGAGCCTCATGGAAAGAAGTTGCTGAAAGTCTAAGCAACTATATTGTGAATGACCCAAATCAGTATATGGATACTCTAGCTTTAAGTTACAATCATTTGCCTCCACATTTAAGACCATGTTTTTTGTATCTAGGAGCATTCCCGGGTGATTGTGATATACCAGTGCACAAGCTGATTTGGTTATGGGTTGCTCAGGGATTCATACATCAAACCGGGAGTGGGAGTGGGAGTAAAACTTTGGAGGATGTAGCGGAGGGTTACTTAATGGATTTACTCGGGAGAAGTCTTGTAATAGTTTCCAAAAAAGGTGTTGATGGACAAATTAAAGCTTGTCATGTCCATGACCTATTGCGTAGTTTGTGCTTGTGGAAAGCAAATGAGGAGGGGTTTTCTCCTGTAGTGTACAGGTAGGTATATATTTACAATTTTGTCAACTTTGTATATCTTTTTCATCTTGAAGAATACATTAATGAAAATATTTCACAAATGGTCCTAATGCTTTTCAATTTTTCCCTAAAATAGTCCTTATGAAACATTTTTTTGCATGGATGGTCTCTACGGAGCAAACCTTGCACACAAATGGTCTTTACGAGTAACTTTTTTAACAAATTTTGTTAAGTGTTTGTGAAATGATGAAAATTCCCTTTGACATTTTGAATCGATTTAAACTTAACGGAGAATTTGGGTTTCTGAGAGGGAGAGGGAGAGAGAGCAAGAGCGCGCGCGCGAAGCCCAATGAAGATCCATTGACCACAACTGGGCCGAAAGCTGCTGTCGAGATAGAGGCTCCAGGAGGTTCACAAGGAATTAGTCAAGCACATTAAGCACATGTTAAACTAGTTAGTGGAAGTAGTTTTCCCCAACATGCATGATCTCCTTCCCATCACCCATGTTCTCTAATAAAGTGTGTTTAGTTTAGGAAGTATTCTCTTATTTAAAGTATTGTAATTTCATTTGGAAGAAAACGTGCAGAAAATTGTCCCAAATATTGTGTGTTTCTCTCTACTCTATCTTCTTGGAGGCTAATCCACTTAAGGGTCATATTAGAGAGAGAGAGCGGTCGAGAGCGAGAGCGAGAGAGAGAGTATTTTGTCATTTCACAACACCTAACAGAATCTGTTAAAAAGCATTAGGACCATTTGTTGTGAAATTTTGTCAACGTTGGTTAATTCATCCATAATTGACGGGTATGGGCGTGTGACTTCAGCACATTCTCCTGTTGCAGAAAGTGAAAGTAGTTGGTCTTCAGATCATTCTACTCAACATATGAACTTCTTTTTGTGTTGTCCTGTAGAATTGGGTGAATGTTTTCATATGGGTAGCTCTATTGATTGTGAGACCTATAAATTTCTTAGGGTATTGGATATCGAATCCACCTCTATATTCTCATTTCCAAGGGAAGTACTACAGCTAGTTAACTTGAGATATCTAGCAATTCAAGCTGAAGATGGGAACCCCCCAACATCAATTTCCAACCTCGTACACCTACAAATCCTCATCATTTCATCAAGGAAGAATGTTTTTATACCTAGAAGTACATGGGATATGGAATGTCTGAGGCATCTTTATATTAAGTCGGGGGAAAAGGAAAATCTTATTGAAGATGTAGATGTGTATTCTGATCGGGTATTAGAGAATCTACAGACTATTTCAGGTGTTTGCCCTTCTACATCTTGTGTTGGTATTTTGTCCAGAACTCCCAATCTTAGGAAACTTGGTTTTCATGGATCTTTAGTATCGCCTTTAGGGGTTTTGGAGTTTCCACGTATATTCTCTTTAACATGTCTTCAAACGTTGAAGCTATCAAATACAAAGATGTATCATTCTAGTGTGAAGTCATGCAGCCTCCTTATGTTTCCTGAAAGTCTTACATGGTTGACTTTATCAGATATTGGTTTGAACTGGAACGAGATTCAGACAATTGGGTTGCTTCCAAACCTTGATGTTTTGAAACTGAATGTTAATGCGTGCATTGGAGAAATATGGGGAACAAGTGACACGGGATTGGGATTTAGAAATCTCAAGTTGTTGAAGTTGCAAGACTTGGATTTAGTAAAATGGGAAGCTTCAAGTGGTGACTTTCCAAGGCTTCAGAGGTTGGTTGTGCGAGGTTGTTCAAGACTTGAAGAGATTCCAGCCTGTATTGGTGAAATCTTAACACTAGAATTGATCGAGGTAAGTTGGTGTAGCGAATCTACTGCTCAATCTGCGAGAAGAATTCAGAAAGAACAAGAGAGAAATGGAAACGATTTCCTTAAAGTCTTTACTTCAGTGCATAGAGATCAGCAAGGAAAAAGGAAAAGACCAAGCCATGATTGATTCTTTTACCCTCTTCTCCATTATTAGGTTAGGCTCTTTTTTTTTTTTTTTGAATAAATCCATTTATATCAATTTGTGCATGTGTATATCTTCGGTTTTGGATAATTCAAGTTCTTTGATCATTGCTTAGAAATTCATTTTAATCTATAAATTAGATATGTGCCAATCATTATGAGCTTGTGACTGGTGAGTTTGCGGAAGCAAATCAACCAAATCCATGTTGTAGTTATTAAGTGAAGTATCTTAGTAATGTTAACTTAGTAAACAACTGAGTCGTGTCGAATTCATGGGCACTTTCATAAGACCTGCTGGCTTTGTATGTATAAAAGAAAACAAAATATCATATTAGCCCAACGTCGTTTGTTCTAAAAGGTTACTTAATTTTTTTTTGGTACATTAAAGGAATAAAGTTATATTTAACTGTTTTAAAATGTCCTTATATGACCTCATACTGGGTTAATAGGTAATATGGGTGCCATGGGTGCCACATGGAATTTTGATCAAAATTAAACACATCACCAAACTTCCCTTTACATAGCCTTCATCCCCACATCCTCCATGTCGTTTTTATTTCCTGTACTAAGCCCTAGATCGGTCGCCACCAGCTGCCTTCGTGTCCACTGAAAAACCCAAGTTGATGATGCCTTCTACTCCTCCCTCTTTGCTGGTCCTAATTGACATATCTGCACGCAATTGACCAAAATCAACAAAACTTACATATACACAGAATCGATCATGGATGCGGTAACTACATGGAATCGAGAAAAAAAATATGCAATGTCCTTAAAGTTCATGCACTCATCCTCTCTCAACCCAACTCCATGGTTTCATCTGCTCGTCTAGACAACCTCTCACGCAGACATATGGTTAGTAACACAATTGACAACCATTTTGAGGTTGTAAGAATGTGGAGAAAGAGAAATTGCTCTAGGTTTTCCCTCTTCCCCACAGGTCAAGGATGTGAACAGAAGAGAACGATGACTAGAGGTTCTCATGAATCTGATTGCGATTTCCAGGCGGTATCAGATTCGAAGAACACGGGTGATGGAGAGGGTGGGTGGAGGTGGCTGCGTTTGACGTGGTGGCGCGAACTGTGAAGGCGAACCAGCGGTGATCCATCCGATAATGATGAAGCTAATTTCAAAGGAGAACCCTGGAGCCTGAAGTTTTGATTCCCGTTCCACTTTCACCTTCCCAAGCCGATTCCCACCACTGCTGTGGTTCCCCTTGATTCCCCTATTGAATCTTCATCACAAACAGCTCTTGAATCTCATAAACCCTATTCTCTCTCGACCTTAAAGGTCAACACTTTCTAAAAAATCAAAGATAAAAAATCAAACCTATTGGATGAAACACATGGCACTGCAACTGGCTATTATAAGTAAAGTGACCAAATTAGAAGGTTAAATTGAACTTTGTTCCTTTAATGTACAAAATAAAATAATTTTAGAACAAACGTGACAAGTTCGTTGTTTTCCCATAAAAGAATGTAACGGATTCATACCCTTTAAAATGTTGAAATTTGATGCATAAATTCACACTATTGGAAAAGGGATAATGGAATACACCACATATAATACGGTTGTAATAAAAGTCTATTATAAAAGGATACTACTAATCTAATACGAGGATATGATATAGTTAGTAGGGTATCTCGTACTTGAAAAAGTGAATACAACTAATTTACTAATTTTACTAGGTAACTAGGTTACAACCCGTGGAAACCACGGGTAAAATATTTATAAAGATATAGGTAAAGTAAGATGCTAAGTTGAGAAACAAACAAAAGTAAATTGTTATATTTTGCATTTTCTCTTCTATTGGGATAATGTAAAAAATAGGATCTAACCAAAATGAGGAATTAATAAATAACATAATAGTAATTTAGCAAACCAGTGAGAAAAGTCTTCGGGTATGCTAAATCGACAAATAAAAAACCATTGTGGTCGGTGGCCACGAGGAAATTTCCTTAAAAAATATATGGATCATTAATAAATACTTTGGTTAAACTATAAAATGGTGAAAATATGGTGACTTTTATGTACATTACTATAACTAAAAATATTTACATGTAAAGACAACCCAAAAATTATTTAACTTTTATTATTTAATTCTGTTCCATCGCAAAAAAAAACATTTTCAAAATGATACACTTCAAATTCCCATAAACAACAACCATACACACTTTAACTTTTTCAGAAAACCGGATTCCATTGCAATATCCTTTTCTCTGGGAAAACCAAACAGCCAAATGTTTCTATCCATTGACCCAACCACGATGTATTTTGCATCAGGACCAAATCTTACAGATTTTATCTTACCTGCATTTTTAACTTTACAATAAAAAAATATTAAAATAAAAAAAGAAATATATGGCAGATATATAAGGGAATGTTTTAATACAATTCCATTTAGACTTAATCGTAGCTTGATAAACCTTGTTCCAATTAGCATTATTAATGACCAAAATACACTTGACGTGTAGTATGAGAGATAATCCAAGAAGTACCTTATGTCTGAACCTCCTATCACTCAGTAGCTTCCAATATGATCAAATTTCAATACGTATAAAACGAAGGTAGGGGCATTAAAATCTAAGTCGTTAAGTTAAATGACAAATACTTTACAAGGACAAAAAGGTTATAAGATTCTTTCAGAGACCATACTCATAAGAATCAATAAAGCATAGGGCTAAATTGTAATTTAGTCTAAACATTTCAGAAGGCTAGAAATTAACAAATTCTATTGGAGTATTCAAAGTATATATGGTATCACACACTTGATGTTTCTGGGAAAATCTTCAAAACTTGTTTACATACCCTTTTATGATCTCATAACTCCGTGCAATTAAGATCATGGAGCATATGCCTAATAAAAGATAACCCCACAAATATAATGATTTTGGATAGATAATGTGAGTAAATAACCAAATTTAAAAAGTTTGATCATGAGTGATTTCTCATTTTCAACTCAAAGTGCTTTATATGAGAACTGAAAATCCCATACAGGGTGAGTAATGAGTAATGATTATAGAATCTTTCTAGTAAAAAAACTAAATTGTATTTTAAAGATAACGAAAAGGGACGAAATAAAAGGAAAAGTGGGTTATGGTACAATTACTTAATGTAACCTTGGCTAAACCTGAATTGAAAATGAAGATATGGGGTAACAAAGATAGGGATTATTTGAACCTTTTAGTAAATTTGGTCTACCAAATCTACTGGTTTCAAAAGGCTTAGTCCTGAACCAGTGTATGAACCAAACATAAACCTATAAAGACATTAAAAATAAATAAGAAAAATAAAGAAATAAGCCAACCTGAGATCCCTTTTGACAACATATGCATAAGCAAATATATTGGATGATGCAGGTGAAGGAAAAAGAATGTCTTTTCCAACATCCATTATTGTCCACATCTACCTACCAGTAATATCAAACTGAGCAATTCTTCTGGTCTTGACTTTGTTTATATAAGTCACCTCCAATCAAAGGATCAGTGAAAGCTGAACAAAATCAAACAGAACAAATAGATTGAAATTTTGACAAAAAAGTACATATAATGTCCATTTTTAGACTGTTATCTCTGTTTCTACTTCATTATACTTAAATTTTATGAACTTATGTATATAATAATCAACACAAACTATGAAAATTAGGGTATTGAAGTCTTTAAACGTTATTATGTATAAAAATTGCTAAATTGCAGAGTGGTGTGTGGGGAGGAAAACATATTTATTTTGAAATAGGACAACCTGCTTTGGAAAGCAAAAATTGTAGAGTCGTTGTATCCTGGCATGGTATCTATGGGTTTACGGTTTACCTACAACAATCTGCATACAAAATAATTAATATCTAATTGATTATTGTTAAAAATGAATTTTTATATATTAAAGAACCTAAGTAAAAAAAGATATAAAGAGCCTGGTCAAAAAATCATACTTCAACATCTTCCAATTATAACCTTAAAACTTGAAGAAGCTACCAAATATAATTCGTCCAAATACAAAGAAATTATTATTTCTACAATTGCGCAAAAACAGAGGTGCAATGAAAAGAAATATATGATGTCAGTTTTATATAAAAGGATTAAAAAGATATAAGTTACATGTTTTTGTCCTTTGATACTTCAAGATGTTTCTCAACTGATGTCCACATAAACAGGGGTGAAAAGGTCATTTGATCATGAAAAGAGAATGGGACTGACTTACATCTCTAGGCCTGGATTTTCTTGAAGGCGGGTTGTAAGGAGCATGTGACCTATCAAAGAAAAACTAATCATAAAATAAATTGCATTTTTGATCTGTGGGTATATTTGATTCTGTTCATTTTATTCTTAAAAGTTTTACCTTGCAGATTGGGAGTATGCTCTGACTAATCTTTGAGACTTAGCACATCTTTTTCTTCAAAAGGGTCTGATGGAGGCTTAGCAAACTGACCAACCATTCTTCCTACCTGTTTAAGTAATAATTCAAAATCATAGGTCAATCATATATACCATTCCCACTCCAGTCTATAAACTGAGCGATACTAGTCCCTTTGAGTTTAAAGAAAAGATGATGGCTTTATTTTTGGCTGCCAATTGTAAGTATGAAACTAAAGAACCCATAATCCAACTTAGAATTTGACAAATAAATCATTTGTTTTCATTCCTTATCATTTCTCTCCCATCAATTTCAAATATGTTGTAATGAATTCAGATTTAATATTCTTTGTATAACTATAGAATATGGAATCATAATGAAACTATAATTTGGGTAAACTTTGAATGATAGAGAATGGTAAGAATTGAAGAAAGAATTTACCTTGATAACAGGCATTTGACCATCGAACATCAACACAACACCCATTTGAAGTATCACGAATATATTAGCTTGGTCCTTCCTGTATTTGTAATCCACTGCGTATTTCAATTTTGGATATGATTTGTTATTGATTTCTTGCGATGCAGCGGGAAATATATTTACAATTGTCCCTAATTTTATGGGATCTTAGTTACAAGAATTGTTGACTGATTTTAAGGGTAGAATTGAATGGAATCGAAAAATATGTAGTTTTTTTAGCGGACATACCTTAAATTGAGGGATGCAATCTTGAAATTTGAATCAACAACGAAATGGTTTAACAACAATCATATGCTAATTGAAATCGGAGAGGCAAACCTAAATTTAAAACCTCATTGTCGGAGTTGGGAGGGGAGACATGGCGCCATAGCTTCACGACCTAGACATTGCCTTGAATCCCAGAGAAGAAGAATAAGGATTACCATCAACCATTGATCGAATTGAGGGTTCGAATGGGACAAGTATTGAACTGAATGTTCACCATAGAAGCCCTAGTCCACCGATTTCGATTTTGGATAGATTACGTTCCTTATTTGCAAAAAAAAAAAATCATCGTGATTTCAAAACAAATTAAGAACTGTTGAATTCAAAAAATCAGGGATCGGATAAAGAAATAGGGTAGAAAATGAGGAAGAGAATCAAGACCGGAAGTATGCAATCAATACGCTATACAATTAGAGGAAGCAGGCCATTATCGAAAATTCACTTACATGCAATTGGCGGGATAAATTGATTGGGGTCGGGCTAATTGACTGAGACGTGGTAAAATGGTTTTATTTATTAGATTATTAGGTTATAATCCGTGTAGTTGATGATAAATTAAAACAACATAAAAACTATAAAATGCGTAATCATTATGTAAATAGTTATTTTTATACAAAGTTAGATGTTTTATCTGTAACCGTATAATCGTTAATTTAATTTAATATGTAAAATGGTTTGAAGATATTAGGAACATTCTTTAGGTGTAGATTAATAATAAAATGATTATCTTGTACAATAAAATATAAAATTTAATAGACTGAAACGGAAAACAAAGACAGTCAATCATAAAAATAAAATTATTTTAATTGAAATTTAGAAAGTAAGACATTGTAAGACACATACATGAATATAAAATGATAAAATAAATTACAAATAGTTTATTGGAGACGATTAATTTCCTTTTGGCGAATATTTGTTTTGGGCGACGTTTAATACATTGTTTTTTTGGTAAAAATAAAAAGTGTATTGTTTTTTGGTTAAAGTTAAAATTATGTTCTCTTCGATTATGGTTCGATCGGTAATACATATATTTATTGATCTAATAGTTTATTATTATTATTTTTTGGAATTTAATAGAATGTTAGTTTTCTTTTAGCGAAATGTAGGAGGGGTCGCAATTGTTTTTTTTTTAATAAATAATTTCATTTAGACGATTAGTTTTCTTTTTACGGATAATTATTAATTCAAGAAATATATGCTTTCTTCTCAATAATTCAAACTTATGATCCATGTTCAATTACTACAAAATGATAGGTAGTAAATTGGCCAAAATAATAAGTAGAATTGCCAAAATGCTAACACAAATTATAGCAAATGAACTCATGGTTTATTTGAAGCTAACCAAAGTTCATAGAATAATAAAAAAGAATCACTAACGACAAATGCAAGCTTATCCTTATGAGGGAGTCCGTAACTTCATGCCTAGCACGATGTAACCTCTTTATGTTATAATCCTCATCAGGGAGAGTCTGTAACTCTGGATAATCAAATGACATATATTCTTCTTAATGATTGCACTTTTACCACCCGTGAGTATGTTTTATAGTCTGATTTGAAACTCTTGAAAGGATATATCAAGCCTAAAAAGTACATTGTTATTTCTTAAATTTGGCCCACTCATGACTAAATGCAAAAGACAGCAATGTTCTTTAATTTTTATGAACATAAATAATTTTAAACTTAAGTTTAACCTTTTTATGCTCATAACTGATTTTAAACTTAAAGTTTAGAAGTAAAATAGTCAACTATTTTTTTTTAAATATCATAAAATAAGCATTGAATTATTGAAAACAATGTTATTTTATTTTATCGAATTAATATGAAGAGAAAAAAATAGGCAGTTTAATTTACCCACGATATGCAACCATAGGTCTCAACTCTCCAACACATAGTAGTTGCTCCCAAAAAGACAGTTCACAGACCTAGTTAAAAAAAATCAAAATGTAAGCCTCATATCTTTAATATCTTTAATATTATTAAAAAGTTAGAATGTAAACCTCTTTCTCACCTCTATACTTCTCCCTTCTTGATATTTACCTTCAAAACCTTTGCAAGTATGATGAAATAATCAGAGTCAACTAAAACTTAATTTCTTTTACAATTAGAATTGACTAAAATGAAATGATTGTACGAAAGCTTAAAACCGGTTGTAGAAATAGAAGTAACAAAGCAGAAAAATGAGAAAAACCCAAACAAATGTGATTTCTTCCCATGTCAAATGAACCAAGCATTTCATCAAATTGTTGTCATGCAAATGAGCAAACATTTTTGAACAGTAACATCAGCCAAAGAAGAAATCACAGGCAACTACGGATGCAATAGCAAATTAATGAAATCAAAAAATTGGGTCAAATAGAAGAAAAAAAAGAATTGGAAAACATACCAACTGAAAATTGATGTCTCAGGAATGGAAAACGGGAGAGATGACTCGATAATGGAACGCTCTTGATTTTAGCATCGACAGTTACACTCTGTTCTCGAAATTTTTAAGGGGGGAAAGGGAGAGTGGGTGACGGTGATGGAATCAAGCTGCAAAGCGGCGGCAGCAATAATGGAATCAAGTGGTTGAAGGTGTTTTGGTGTTATAGAGAAGAAGAGAGGGAGACAGGTGATTGAAGGAGGTGACAACAACGCTTTAAGGTTAGAAAGGGAAATGATTGAAAGAATGGTGGTTGTAGTGATGGTTGTTTACATGTTCAGTGGTAGTATATGTTGAAGGTGTGTGGGTGTTCGTTGAAGCCGATTTGTTTAGGTGAAGGTGGCGTATTACCCATGTCATTTTGAAACAGATGAATCAAAAACCTATTAAGATCTAGTGAGATACACGATTCGGAGGAAGAAACGAATGACGGAGATATGTAAGATGGGGTATTCAAAATTTAAATTTAAAATCACTCCTTTCTAGGTGTAAACAGCTGTAAATACTGGAACAAAAATCACGTATATATTGTTAGTTTTAATTTTAATGTCCTGATTTGTGAGAATCGATTATGATGAAAGAAAAGACGGAAATTATAAGGGGAGTTTACCATGTGTCAAAGTAGTAGGAAAAGATGCCATGTGTCAAAATAGAGATATAGAAAATGGACACATGGCATATTTAGGTTTTGTTTATTAGGAGAGGTAGATTAGGGGAAGGGATTAGCTTGAAACCGAATACAACTTAAAACCTAGATCAAGTACAGCTCATTTGAATCAAGTACAGAAGGTTGTTTATTAGCTGTGAAAATCCATCCATTCTATTACGGCTCACCATTAGATTCAATACACAACTTATTTAAAAATTGACACCCTCTCGTACATTTAAATGCTAACATCTCTTATTTCGTGTACGTAAATAACATATTTCTATAAAATTTTGTTCATCCGTTTTCTCCTTTTTGATAAATTGACAATAATTCATATGTAATGTAGGAATTGATTAATCAGGGAGCTTCTAAAGGGAGATTCAAATTCGGATGGATTACTAAAACTTCCAATCAATATTATGACTGGAATCATTGATTAATCATATTTATACATTCATAATAACGACTATGAATATAAATATAAGTTACATTTAAAGCATAGTAAGTATAGCCTAACTTATAACTTACACAGATTCCTAGTGAAAAGCCAAAACGTCGGGGGCAAGACCTCGATACCGAGCACTTCTTTCTGTTCGACTCTCTGTTGACCCAGAGTCTCGCTAAATTAGGATTCTCTAAAATCCCCAAAAACTCAAAAAAAAATAAGAGAGAGAGAGAGAGAGAGAGAGAGAAAGAGAGGATTTGGTGTGAGAATGAATGAGGCATGGGCTGATATGAATATGCAATTTTGGGGATGCGCACAACGCGTTGTATCCATGTGTGCCACACGCTAAGGGGACGTCTCTCCTCTACCTCGCTGCCACGTGTCACTTTTCCTTTGGTCTATGCCTCCCTTCTAAAAGTTGTGTGCGTCGTATGTACGAGATTTACTTTTCTTTTAAAAATTGTATCCTTCCCATACGAGCTTCGTTTTCGACGTTCTTTATATCCACACGTAGTTATCGACGAGTACTACAACTTTCATTTAGGCTCCGTCAGCTAATTCTCACTTTATTTTTAAAGTTATATTTTTAAAGGGTATAGACTGTTAAAAGTCGTATAAAAATCATAACTCTTTCATACGACATCCGTTCTTGACTGTCTTTATATTGACGGGTTAATATTCACGAGATCTTCAACTCTCATTTAGATTGTTTAGGCTAACAATCAACCGATTTGAATTTTGATTCCTGTGTTGCACACTGTTGCGTTGAAATTTCAAAAATCATAACTTTCTCATGCGAAGTCAGATTTAGGCGTTCTTCACATGCACACTTTCGGAATTACGATTACTACAACTTTTATTTAGATCACTAAGACTAATAAGTACTATACCTCTACATCGTATTAAATTCTATTGTAAGGTGAAAACGGGCTGTTACATGTGGTGAGTAAGACATAAATCCAAAATGATAAAGGGAGAGTACTTATGCTCATCATAGATCGAACCGTATCAAGTAAGGTCTAATTTCTCCTCTTAGACACACCATTAAGCTGTGGTGTTCTGGGTGGAGTAAGTTGTGAGATAATCCCACGACTTCTAAGATGATCTTGGAACTATTGGCTCAAGTACTCGCCACCTTTATCCGAACGAAGGGTTTTGATTGTCTTTTTGAGTTCTTAAACTTCAATTTTAAATAGTTTGAATTTTTCAAATGCTTCATGTTTATATTTCATCAAATAAACATAACCAAAACGACTGAAGTTATTTGTGAATGTGATGTAATATCGTTCACCATATCTTGACACGGTTTTAAAAGGACCACACACATCAATATATATGATGCCTAACAAAACACTTGCCCTTTCACTCAACCCAGAGAAAAGGGACTTTGTCATCTTACCACACAAACAAGATTCACATATATCAAATGACTTAGTATCATTTGCCCTAAAAGTCCACACTTTTGGAGTTGGGATACACGCTTCCTATTTTTATGTGACTAATAAGACAATGTCATAGATATGTTTGGTTCAAATCTTGTTTGAGCTTTTTGGTATTTTCATGATAAATGGATTTATTGTTTGAAGAGTCATCAAGGTTTAATTCATAAATTCCATTTATTGGTCTAACCCCAAAATAGAATACTCCATTTAAGAAGAAATGAATATTGTCATCAACAAATTGATAATTAAAACCAAATTTTCTTAAATGCAAAACTGAAATGATATTTCTAGTTATAGTAGTTATCAAACAAACATTTTCTAACTTTAAATACGGACCGGGTGGTAAACATGATTCAAATTTTCATACCGCTTACACTGTTGGATTAGGTGTCTAAGCCCATAACTATAATTGGTATGTACTTGAATTGATAGTAGCAATGTCCTTTTGGGTTGCCTTCAAACCTGGAAATTGAATAGGATAATTTTTAGAGAGAGAAGAATGATTTATTAATTTATTAATTGGTTAATAAATTAATTTGAAATCAAGATAAATGATTTATTAATGTATTATGGATATAATATATTAATTAGAAATCATATTGTTTAATTAATATTTAATCAGAAATTAATTTGGAATTAATTTTGGGATTAAAGGAACTAATTGAAACTGTAGGGACTAAAGGTGACAATGTTCAAAAGTTGAGCATTGAGCATTCTAGAACCCCCTTAGAGGTGGGGAACGAAATCTAAAGTGTCCCAGGGTTTCCTTGGGCTCTAAGGGTGCCTTGGAAGTCTTAGGGAAGAATTTAAGGGATTAGGGTTATCTAAGTTACATCTGCCTTATCCTAAACCTTCCTTATCACCTATATAAACCCCTATAGGGTTGGATTTCGTCCCATGCACTCCAAGAAAGGCTTAGAGCCGAATTTTCCACTTCCCTTCTCTCTCTCCATAGTAATCCTTGGTTGCTAGGTTTGTTTGTGAGCCATTAGAGGCGCGACACTTGTGGCGCTTGCTACCAAAGTTCAAGATCTTCAAGGATTCGTTTGTTATTACAATATAACACTAAAGGTATGTATCCTAACCCTAATTATATGTTAATTTTGAAAATTACATGTGCCTCCTAGGGTTTCTAGTTTTTGTGTTCATTGCTTGTATGTCTAATAGTGAAAACATAGATCCTCAAATTAGGGTTGCATGCACACATAGGGTTGTTTGTTATGTTTAAAACCCATCATTCACTGCAACCCATGCTCCATTGTTGACATGTAGTACCATCTAACGTTTTTTAAGCTCATACTCTTTCTGCACCCCTGCAACGAATTACATATGTGAGTTCCACAACTAGTATCAAATGCCTATGTGTTAGATGAAAAAGTAAATAATCTCATTTCAATCATGAAAATAAATATACCTGAAGTGCCTCTCCCGACCTTCATGGCTTTCAACCTTGCAAAATATGTAGGACAATTCCTTTTCCAATGTCTAACAACTCCACACTCGAAGCAGGTGTCATCATTGGCTACCTTCTCCTTCATCTTTGGTGGTGGGGATTAGAGAGATTTCTTTCCTTTGATTTTGCCAGCTTGTGGCTTACCCTTGAAGTTCTTTCCTTGTTTCTTCTTCTTGACCTGTCCTTCACGGATCATGATCACTTGTGGGGTTTTCCTTGGGATGTTTTTCTCAGCAGTTTTGAGCATCAGGTGTAACTCAAAGATAGGCTTATCCCACATGTTCATGTTGTAGTTCATGATGAAGGTATCATAAGATTTTGGAAATGAATTTAGAATTAAATTTGTGGCCAGGTCTTGTAGATATTGAGATCCTATCTCTTCATTTGATCCAGATAACTCTTCATCTTGAGAACATGTGTGCTCACATTCCCAATCTCCTCTATTTTGCAGCCATGAAGGATCAAACAATTTCAAACCTTCCAGTTCTAGCTTGCTGGTCGAATACCTCCTTGAGATGTTCAATCATATCAAAAAAAGTTCTAGATCCGCTGAAGATTGGGAATCATTGAAGCAAGCATATGGCATAAAACATTAATAAAGTCATCCACATGCTTGAGCCATGAATCATAAGCAGACTTTGGAGTAGGAGATGGTTCATTGAGAATTAGACCCTCAAGAACATAGTCTTTCTTTTCTTGTTTCAAAATGATTCTTAAATTACGGTTCCATTCCAAAAAGTTGAAATGGACTAGTTTTTCTTTGTCCAAGACAGATCGAATGTTCATGGGGTGATGGTATGTTATAGTTACATGTGGGGCCATCTACAAAATTTTAACAAAGCTTAATTTGTTGTTTAATTCTTCAAAAAGAATACCCTTTTGTTTTTGAAAACATTAATTATTAAAGTCTAGGATCCAAGTTGCAAATCAAATAAATGGTTATGTGGCATTTATCTCATTCACTTAGATTTCAACAAGTTAAATAACTTTTATTAATTACACCAAGTATAATTACTAGATGTATGGGATCCTTAACAATCCATTTGTTAATTGACATGTTTGATTCTATCTATGCATCGGAACACTCTTGCTTAGGTGTCATTTATCACAAGAGGTTTCCGATCAAGTCATCCAATTAAAAAAATTTGTATAATCGGCCCATAATTAGGTTGTAGAAATCACGAATACACTTTGGCCACCAAAAGATAAGACAAATGGTTAGGTGACATTTATCCCAAAAGTATTATGAAAATGGTGAGCAAATGTTTCTATAGCTAGATGGCATGGATTTGCTATTTGAAAAAGGGATTTATATGTTTTATTATTCTATTTTAAAACATGTGATATTATGGTTATTGCATGCATCCAATAAACATGGTACCAATTTTCAAAAATTCATTTTTTAAAGGTTCCATATAAAATCTAGTTTTTATATTAATCGAAAAGATTCATTTTAAAGTTAATATCCGATATTAAGTTTGAAGTTTAAGTGTTATAGAACCTTTCATATCTTTTAATAAAACTTCATTTTATTAGTAAGACATTTGAGTTTGGATAGGTTATAAAATCTCCATTTTTGACTTATAAAATTTAATATTTCAAAACTTACCGTAATAAAGGCTTTTTAGAAAAAAAAAAAGACGTTTTTATTTTAAAACCATAATTTTATACATCTTATGTTTACAAGTTTTATATTAAAAACCAAACTCCTTGTGATGTTTATATTGTCAAAAAATTTATTTAAGCATGTGAAAACTAATTTATCAACCACACATAATGATCAACATTTTAAATAAACAGCACAAGCATGTATTACGACATAAAACAAGCCATGGTCTAGTGTTGAAACTTTTTTGAGCCAACACAAAAGTGCCAAGTCCTTTCCTAAAGGGACAAATGGACCAAATAATCTTCATGTTGCCTTCATGCTCCCACTTTCTTTGACAATCTACTTTGTAGCAATTTTATAAAAGTTATAAACTTTTATAAAAGTTATGAACTTTTAAAAAAATCTCATACACCTTCAAGGATATTCAAAAAGGTCATCATTCATCATGTTACATTTTATATAAAATAAAACTAGTCTATCACTTACAAAATAACAAAGATGAAAACTAGCTTTTTATTATTATGTATCATATGAATAAAAGAATATTACAACCATTTCAAGGTCAACAAAAATGGTCCATGGCTTGTTTATGCACTAAAAAATACACATAAACATAAAACAACATTTGTGTCACACCCCCAAAACGGAACGACGAAAACGTTCGGAGGCAGATGACGTCATGTACAGTATCATAACAATGAATAATAGTAAATAAAGCAACAACCATCATATTGAAAATATATATAATTTACATTGTGTTCGCAACATTGATTGTTTGACAACAAAACTATATCAAAAACTAAGACGTAACGATACTATGCTCCGTCTTCTGAAAACCCGTGTGTGTGTACCTATCTACTAGTTTCTTGAGAATACAAGTGGTTTTGAAAAAGTGTCAACATTTAAGTTGGTGAGTTCATAAGTATTTTATATGAAAAGTATGTTCTTTGTTCTTTGAAAACGTTAATGTGTTCTTCCAGAAAATCCAATATTTTCTTTGTAAATGAGTTGTAGTCTTAGTACCTTAAGATAAAAATGTATAAGTTTCTTATGCTTAAAATTTGTGATACAAAGTTCTAATTTATATAAGTGGTATGACCCATACTGGTACCTCCTATGATTTCTTATTGTACACAAGTTATATATAATCAAGATCGAACGGACAGTCGATTGAGTGATTCTGCCCTAAACCCACAACCAAACAAGGAACAGGATCTAAGGCGGAAATCACACATTTGACTGCCTATCGGATCTTCATTATATATAACCCAAACTTATACGCCAAGAAATCATAGATTTAGCAATAAGGGTCCTTAATATATGTTTTCCTGACTTGACCGTTGTATTGCGCCTAGAAAAATAGTACATTGTAGTTGTAGTTGTATGTAAACCTTTTTAACTCTTATAAGTGATGTGATCCATACAGGTTCCCCCTATGATTGATTAGTGTATGCAAGTTATATATAATCAAGATCGGACGGACAGTTGATTAAGTGATTCTGCCCTAAGCCCACAACCAAACAAGGAACATGAAGTAAGGCGGAAATCACACATTCGACTACCTATCGGATCTTCATTGTTTAAAAACCTAACGTATACGCTAAGTAATCATAGTGTAACAAGTATGGTCCTTTCCGAAATGTAAGTTGCACTGTACTTGAAAATAGTATATTGTAGTTGTATATGTATGTAATCCTTTTAAATGTATGTTTCTAGAAATATAACTTGTGTTGTATTGGAAAATCGTGTAATGTAGTTTTAGTATTAAGTAAAACCAACTGAAGATGTGTTTGCCCCGTAAACTAAACGTAAAGTTAATACCCTCCTATGATCACTTAGTGTATACAAGTTATATATAATCAAGATCGAACGGACAGTCGATTGAGTGGATCTGCCCTAAGCCCACAACCAAACAAGGAACAGGAAGTAAAGCGGAAATCACACATTCGACTGCCTATCAGATCTTCATTGTATATAACCCTAATGTATACCCTATGTAATCATAGAGTTAATACCCGATAAGATTGTTTGAAAATAGATTACTACGTAAATGTGTCGTTGTTTTCTCCATGTGAGTTCTTATAACTTTTGGATTAGTGTCTAAGTCCATAACTATTTTGGTATGTACTTGAACCGATTATGAGCAGGGTCCTTTTGGGTTGCCTACACCATAGCAACTGATAGGATGAATTGAGGAGAAAGAGGATTAATTATGATTTATTAATATATTATGAGAATAATATATTAAAGGAGAAATCATATTATTTAATTAATATTAGTCAAGAATTAATTAAGAATTAATTTTGTGGCTAAAAGAGATTAATTAAATAAAGGGGACTGATATTGTAATTATAAGATAATTGCAATTGGGCTATGGATCACCTTGGAACATTGGTTGGACGAATTCTATGGGAAGCCCATAAGGAATTCGTCCAAGGGATATTCTAGAAGGAGTCCATGGGCTGCTTAAGGCCTAAGCAGCAAGATTAGGGTTTCCTGGTTAGGTGATGGTAACATGAGGGTACCAAGTATATTTGCCTGGTTATTCACACCTTGTTTGTGATCCTCGGCATCCCAGTCACAAACTTGAAGGGCATAATCGAGATTAAACATGCCATTGAAAAGTTCAATGAATCTCAAAAGATCTAGAAGTTTCAATTAATTTAAAACTTAAACTATTTTTTGTTTTTCATGGTGGAAATTGGTAAATCGTCATTTACCTACCTTCAAATATTCTGCAACTGGATTACGGCATCCCTATTCCATGTTGTAGAACATTGTGTTGGGTCCTAGCCTTAATATCTCATTTGGGTGTTTTATTAAGGACTCAATCAACTAACTTGAATTTTCTCCTGTTTTGTAGATGTCTAGTTCTGACAACTATGGTCTTCCTGAATCCTTTGAAACAAGCTTTCCACATGAAGATGATATTCTAAGATTGGATCGTGGAAATGGAAATCATGCTTCACTTCCTCCACCTCCTCCAATTGTTCTCCCTAACCCAAAAGTTCGAAGGCTTGAAAAGTTCAAGCTCACTCAAGCCCTTTTGGCAAGTAAACATGAAGAGGGAAAGTCAGTGTGTGCACACGTCTTAGAGATGAAGTCGCACATTGACAGGTTAAGAATGTTGGGAGTTGTTGTCTGTGAGAAGCTGGTTGTTGACTGGGTTCTTCAATCGCTTCCTGACTCGTATAGTGAGTTCGTTAGAGAGTACTATACGATGGACCACGACGTGACCCTCATTGACCTCACCTATTTGCCTATTGCTGCTGAATCAATGATGATTTGTCACAATGGTCAAGCAAATTTGTTTGGTGGATCAATATCCTAAACTTCCATGGACATTGAAAATGGCGACATTGGTAGTCCAGAAAAGGTAAATTATGAGATAGTTCCTTGTGCCATTCCCAAAGAGTCCATTTGCTTTTATTGCCAAGAGAAGGGGCATTGGTTACAAAGCTTCCCTGACTACCTGA